CAGAGTGTTCTCATCTCTACATTAAAAGATTCCTTTTTCCCTAGAGTAACCTCTTTTACTTTTCAGTTTACTGTTTTTCTTCGCAGTACTTTATCTTTTGACTAATATAATGCCTTTTCATTGATATCAAACTGGATATTTTAAATGCCTGCATTTTGTGATTGTTCCTTCTCAGAAATTTAGAACTGTGATGGATTTTGGTTCGGTTTGGCTTGGTTTGGTTTGGTTTTGGTTTCCCCTCTGCTGCCAGAATACTGATCTCGGATGCTCCAGTTCCTACCCCTCCTTTGTTGGGCACCGCAGTTTACCCCTCTTCCTTATGACTAGACAGTAGCCTTGAGCTCCTTGCTGTCCTCCCCAGTTTGAATAAGAGCTTTGCCCTGTGTATCACCTGGTCCAAACCTAGTCTAATTCTTGCAAACATTTAAAGTCCTTAGGGGGACTTCCCTGGTGGCACAGTGGTTCAGAATCCGCCTGCCAGCGCAGGGGGCACGGGTTCGAGCCCTGGTCTGGGAAGATCCCACATGCCGCGGAACAACTAAGCCCATGTGCCACAACTACTGAGCCTGTGCTCTACAGCCCGCGAGCCACAACTACTGAATCCTGTGCACCGCAGCTACTGAGCCCGCATGCTGCAACTACTGAAGCCTGCATGCCTAGAGCCTGTGCTCTGCAACAAGAGAAGCCACTGCAATGAGAAGCGCGGGCACCGCAATGAAGAGCAGCCCCCACTCGCCATAACTAGAGAAAGCCCGCGCGCAGCAACGAAAACCCAACACAGCCCAAAAAAATAAAGATGAAATAGCAATAATTCTTCAAAAAAAAAGTAAAATAAAATAAAGTTCTTAGGTTCTTCACTTGGGCACTTACCATATACTCAGGAGTAGCTTAGGCTCTTTGGATTGCCCAGGTCAGCTGTGGGATTATAAGAATACAACCCCTGCATAGCTCAGGATGTAGATGGATGGTCCAACTTAACATTCAGTGCCCTTCTCTATCAGTTCTGGAAGTTCTCATTAAGCGTATCTTGTATATTTAAGAGCACCCTTTATCACCAACTCCAGGTAGATTCTTGTGGATTTTTTTAGTCTTCAAGTACAGTGGTGATATTCAAGGCCCAAATTGTTCCCTTTGGTGGGAGGTTAACGAGGGCAGTCGGGGTGGGGGTGTGTATATCTGAATATTCCTTCTATATTTCCTACTTAGGCATCTCCCCCCAGATGGAAGTCACATGTGTGCCCACTCCCACAAGCACAGTGTCCTCCATAGGTAACACAAATGGAGAAGAGGTGGGACCATCTGTCTACCTGGAAAGGCTAAAAATCCTGCGACAGCGATGTGGTCTGGACAATACAAAGGTACTGCTCCTCTCCTTCTGTGTGGGGCAGGGAGGGCGGTGACCAGCAGGTCAGGGACAGGCTGGCCAGAGGAGCAGCGTTCCCAGCCTCAGTGTATGTTGCTCCAGAGCCACATCCTGACCTGATTGGACAATGTTTCTTCTTCTCTCAACAGCAAGATGACCGACCTCCGTTGACCTCTTTGCTTTCCAAACCAGCAGTTCCTACCGTTGCCTCTTCCACAGACATGCTGCACAGCAAACTCTCGCAGCTCCGGGAGTCACGGGAGCAGCACCAGCATTCAGATCTGGATTCCAACCAGACTCACTCTTCAGGAACCATGACTACATCCTCCTCCTCCACAGCTAACATTGATGACTTGAAAAAAAGACTGGAGAGAATAAAGAGCAGTCGCAAATGAAGCCGCCCCACTCCCCTGGCACCCTGCAGCTTTAGTTTACTAAACTAGGAGTCCTCATAGTTAAAGTGGCCTTGGCAGGCCTAGTGTACACAAACTGGTTGTATGTATCATACCGTGGACCTGGGGGAGGAGTCGTTGTGGCACAAGTCTTTGCACATCCTCCGCTTCTCTCCGCCAGCATCCTGCCTCTCTAGAAGACTGTCTGTGTCTTAGTTTAGTGTACAGACCTGTAAACAGCTGCCCTTCTCTCAGCTCAGACTAATTTCCATATCCTTTTTCTTTTATTTTTAATTGCTCATTTGTAAAATTGTCCTAATCTTTCCTAGCTTTTAACTATTAGAAACGCTTTACTAGTTTTCCTTTGAGTTTGTGAGCTCTTCTCCTTGTAGCCCTGAAGGGTCACTGTATTCTATATGAATGCATGGCATGATACAACTAATTTAAGAGTCTTTTATAAATAAAGTTTGCATTAACTATAACTGTGTCCCAAGATGCTCCGTATCTGGGAGTGTTGGGCAGCTCTCCATCACCTGTTCTTGGGACCAGCTGGGTATTCAGCCAGTTAGAGAAAGGTTCATAATTGCTGCTTAAGGAGCTCTACCTTTTCTTGGCTCACAGACTTGGTCCTTTCACTCCTTTGGAATAAGAGGCACTCACCTCTCCTGCTTTCTGCATGCAACTCCTAGGGGAGCAGAGAAATCTCATTCTTCCCTGTTTCGAGATTTTGGTCACGACTTCCATCCCATCATCAATCACCATGGTTCCAAGGAGCTCTTAGGCTCCCTACTACTTTTACTGCCCAAGTACATATGACATTGTGCCCAGGGATTAGCTGGGCTACAGTGGCTGTCACACCACAACTAGATTTGGGGTCATCTGACTAAAGGAGTACAGAGAGCATAGGGGCTTCCTGCCTGGTTAGCAGAGTCTCTGAATCTAGACTAACAGTTCCTTCACACTCAGTAAAGACTAGAAATAAACAGGATTCACATCTGCAATAACATTCCACAAGACCTCCTTCCACAGTCAGAAAACATTGTCCAAAGGAACTTTTCTACACCACTTTTTACTGAACTGGTGTTGTTAGAAATGAAAGGTTGATGAAAAATTAGTCCTGTATTGATTCTAGTCATGATTTTGAGATGGCTCCTGTGCTGCCTGAAATAAGAAATTAAACTTGCCTCTCTCCCTTTTAATGCACACAGGAAGTAGGCCTTCACTGAAGGGAAGATAGAGGAGTTCGTTGCTGTAGAGAAGGAACACATTTAGAAAGAATGGCTGTGCTTGGGTCTGGAATTAGCACAGCTAATTTGAAAAACCAAAGTCCAGCAGTCTTGCGAGAATGTGCGCCCTTGTTTAAAAACCAGATTTTGGGGTATTACAACTAACTTTTAATCCCTTCCCCCTGCTCTGGTTAAAGCTCAGGGCTGTCAAGATCCTGCAAGCTCACTGAGTTCCCAGTTTTACCCTGGTTTCTGGTCAACTAGGACCGAAGAATGAGGATAAGGAACTCAGTCCTAATTTTCTCTTCCCTGATGTACTAAAAAATGGGAGTGGAAAAAAAGGGGAGGGGAGGGGGGTGAAGGTTACCTACCTTAAGTCCCTTCCTGCTTTAAGCCATGATATCTAAAGATCTTGGATCCTAGGCCGAGAAGGTGACCACAAGGCACCCGTGCTCCACCCCATCCAAGCCCAGGGGTGAGACTTCTCAACAGTCCTCCAGACGGTCACCAAGTGATCAGCACCTCACACCAGTGGCAACTCGCTGTCACACATTATCGTAGGCTGTAGTGCCTGCTTCCCCGAGTCATAAATGCACCCAACAGGAAGAGCAATACACCAATGTCAGCCAGAAACTCTGGAGCTACGTGGAAGGGCAACGATGTGTCAGAGCCGTGCTCCATCCCAGACAGTAACCTCTGCCATCAGTAACCTTGAAGAATGTGCTGTGAAAAGGCATCTTGAAAGTTCTGTGACTCCTAAGATTTTGCCCAAACCCTGTAAGAATCCACTTCTACATCTTCTTGTTCCCATTTCTCAGAAAAACAAATTACTCAATTCTGATAACTGCTGGGAGAGTAGAAACTCCAGGAAGCAGCAACTCCAACACTATGCTATTTCAGAGACCAGAGAGGGAAGTGGGAAGTGGCAGAGGAACTTCACCATGCCAGGCAGTAGTGAGAATAAAAGCAGCCGTGACTTAACAGAGAGCTGACCAGGTACCAGGCATTTTGCTAAGTACACATGCAAATGACCTTATTTAATCCTCAAAACCTTATTAGGTAAGTAATGTCATTATATACATCTTATACGTAAGGGAACTGAGGCTCAGGGAGGTCAAGTGACATAACCATGGTTATCCCCACCCCCCTTTCTTTTGGTCATGCATGCTGCGTGGCTTGTGGAATCCCAGTTCCCTGACGAGGGATGGAACCTGGGCCCTGGCATTAGAAGTACGACTGGACCACCAGGGAGTGCCCGTGATTATCCCTTTTAAGGCTGGAGCCAGAATATGAACCCAGGCAGTCTGGTGCTAGGGCCCCTACTCAGAACTGCTATCCCACAACCCTTGCGAGTGAAGACACTTAAAATACTGAGCCTTTGGGCGGCACAGATCTGATTTTTTTTTTTTTTTTTTTTTTGCGGTACACGGGCCTCTCACTGTTGTGGCCTCTCCCGCTGCGGAGCACAGGCTCCGGATGCGCAGGCTCAGCGGCCATGGCTCACGGGCCCAGCCGCTCCGCAGCATGTGGGATCTTCCCGCACCGGGGCACGAACCTGCGTCCCCTTGCATCGGCAGGCGGACTCTCAACCACTGCGCCACCAGGGAAGCCCTGATATTTTAATAACATAAGAAAGATGTAACTACTCCCCACCTCACTAGCCTACCCTCCTCCAGCCTCTTCTCTGGTCCCACAACAGCTCTTCACAGCCTAAAGTGGCTAAAAGCACAGGCTTCAGTTTCTCCTATATTTCAAGTCAGACTTTGACCCTTCTTAGCCATGTGACCTTGGACAAGGAACTTCTCCAAGTCTCAGTTTACTACCTTTTGTGAGGATTAAATGAAATAATCTATTAAAGCCCCAAGTCTGGAACATTTTAAATGCTCATAAATTCAGGCTGCCATCTCCCCTCTCACTGGACCCTGTTCTAGGGGTGGTGGATTCTTTAAGTCCTGCTTGTCCAGTAGTAGGATTGGCTCTTCCTGAGCTACCCATGAACAGCACTGTGAGCACTGAGGCTCATTGATAGGGTCACTTTTATTGAGAAATATAGTTTTAGGAACAAGCCACAAAAATAATTCTTTCACTGGATTGGCTTCTGTGATTTTGCAGTGAGCAGTGTAGAATGTGGGTGGCCCCCTAACTTCCAGACCGTTCAATGACCTTCTGTATCCACTTCTTCAGGCGGAACACATGTGTGTAGAAGCCATATTTTCCATCCCTGTCACAGCCTTCACCCCATGAGACGATGCCCATTTGATACCAGCGGTTGTTAAAGGGGCTCTGAGGAAGAAACATGGGATTTCCAATAGAGTCAAGTCCAAGGTAGTGTCAGTATTACCCTGTCAAGCAATTGTTTCTGAAAACTTGGGTCCCTCCTCATCCACCCCAGAAGGATCTACCCGCCAGCTCCTGGCCTTCTGGGAACTCAGCTTACCTTCATGACAAACGGTCCCCCACTGTCGCCTTCACAAGCATCCCCTCGTTTCCCTTCACCAGGCTTGTAACCTTGAGAGAGAAAAGCAGTACTCAGGGAGGGGTATAGCTCGCACTCCAGCCACTCTCCCCTTCAAGAGATACTGCTGCTGAGTGTCCACTGACTCCTAGGCATCCTTGACTCTGCTCAATTCCTCACCCCACACATCCAATTCTTAGGCAAACCTTGCCAGCTCAATCTTCAACGTACATCCCCAATCCAACCACCCCTCACCACTTCTACACCTGGTCCCATCACATACACCTCTCCCCTGAACCACTAGTCTCCCTAGTTCTACTTTTGCTGCCTACAATCCATTCTCCACCCAATAAGCAGAATGACTTAAAAAAAAAACCACGTTAAACTGACAGGTGAGAGAAAAATGAGAATTAGGGCAGTTACCTTTATCCAAATATCTCCACATATCCTCCACAAACAACATGAAGAACAACAAAGCTACACAAAAACCACACCTTCAACATAACTCGAATACAGAGAACACCCAAACTTCAAACCACTTTATCTAACTGTACATCGAATATCAAAACCTGTGTGGTCCTAATAAGACCTGGTTCCACATCTCAAAAAAACAAAAAAACAAAACTTGTGTGGAGATGAGGAGGGGAAAATATCCACTAGATCAAAGAAGTGGATTCAATGAATTAGGACTCTTGTAAATAACCCCAAATCTACCAAATGAATAGACGAAAAGTAAGTACATCTATACCAAGATACTATAGGAAAACAATAAGAACCAAAATACCTCAGCTAACAAAAATTCTTTCCCAAACACAACCATGAAACAAGAAAACTAACGGAATTAAATATCCTCAAGCAAATTTTTGGTATGTGAAAAAGAATGAATCAGAAATTTAAAAATTAGGGACTTCCCTGGTGTCACAGTGGTTAAGAATCTGCCTGCCAATGCAGGGGACACGGGTTCGAGCCCTGGTCTGGGAAGATCCCACATGACGTGGAACAACTAAGCCTGTGCACCACAACTGTTGAACCTGTGTCTAGAGCCCGTGAGCCACAGCTGCTGGGCCTGCGTGCCACAGCTGCTGAGGCCTACCCGCCTAGAGCCCGTGCTCCGCAACGGGAGAGGCCACTGCAATGAGAAGCCTGCACACCGCCAATGAAGAGTAGCCCCCGCTTGCCGCAACTAGAGAAAGCCCGCACGCAGCAACAAAGACCCAACCCAGCCAAAAATAAAATAAATCAAAAAAAATTTTTAATTCAAAAATTAAAAATAAATGGACAGGGACTTCCCTGGTGGTCCAGTGGTAAAGAATCCTTCCTGCAATGTAGGGGACACAGGTTTGATCCCTGGTCAGGGAACTAAGATCCCACATGCTGCGGGGCAATGAAGCCCACACGCCACAACTACTGAGCCCGCGTGCCTCAACTAGAGAGCCCACGTACCACAACGAAGATCCTGTGTGCTGCAACTAAGACCTGATGCAGCCAAAATTAAAAATAATAAATGGACAAAACAATGGGAAGTAATTAAAAGCAGAAAGTGGTCGAAATGGAACTCACACTAAAGAAATGAGTCCCTCAATAAGAAAAAGAAAGCAATGGAACAGAGTTAATATGTATAATATAGTCCAAGAAAACTTCACAGAAATAAAAGATTGGATGTGCATATTGAAAGGATCCACTGGGAACCTGGCAAAGCTGATCTGAAACACTGAACTCTGAGACGAGTCCTAAAAAAAACTGAGACTTCAAAGATGAAGAAAAAACCTTCAACGCCTGGAAGCAGAAAAACTCAACTCCCTTATAAGAGCAAAACAATTACACTGGCATCAGATTTCAAAAACAACATACAAAGCAAGCAATGATAAAGCTATATTTTCAAAAAATTCAAGGAAGGAAAATGTGAACCATGGATTTTATATTCAATCATGCTGAGCTTCAGGTGTCAAGGCTACAGAAAACCAGTTATAAACACATAAAAACTCAGGAAATTCTATACCCATAACCCTTCTTGAAAAATCGACTAGTGGACAAGCTTCATCCAACCAGGAGATGAATGCTTCAGCAAAAGGACTTATTAACTGTCTGACAAGTAGAAATAATACAACTAAAAGTATGAGAGGAGAAGAGAAAGAGGAAAGTAAACTCACTGATTGTAACAACTAAAAGAATATAAGAAACTAAGGGCATTTCAAAAAGGTGTAAGACCAAAGATAATGAGTAGAACAAAAATGCAAACCTTACTAAATATATGAAATTATTTGAAAAGTAAAGAAAAGATCACACAGGGAAAAAACACAGTAAATGAAACATAATATACATAAAAATAACAAAATCATATGAGATACTAATTCTATTAATCATATCAATAAATATGAATGGGCTTAACTCACTTTTTAAAAAACAAAAAGATTTTTAATTTGACTCACAAAGCAAGACTCAACGATGCTATATATGAGACAAAACAAAGTGATTCATAGAGGCTAAAGTTAAAGGGATGGACAAAAGTATAACAGGAGAATGGAAACAAAGAGAGCAGGGATAGTGAAGCTCAAGTTGAAAGTAAAGAAGGACACTTTTACTGCTAAAAGCCACAATTCACAATGAATAATTAACATTTATAAATATCTGCACCAAATAACACAGCAACTGCCTTTATAAAGTAAAAGACTATAAATGATGCAAGGAGATAGACAGAAATACATTAATAATAGAATTCAACACACCAAACTCAGTACAAGACATATCAAGTGAACTGAAAATAAACAAGGATATAAATGACCTAAATAACTGATAAGGTACATTTATGGACATATATATATATATATATTGAACTTTACACGTGGATAAAGAAGAACACATCTACACACCTCAAGCACACATGTACATTCACAGAAATTGATCAAACGGTTCTCAGAAAAATCAGTTCCATAAAGTAGAAATATTACAAACTATATTCCTGGATTATAATGCAGCAAAACTGAAAATCAAAATGCTAAAGGGCCCTCCCATCTGGAAATTTTAAAACCACCTATTAACTCTTGAGTGAAAGGGGAATACACACTGAAATTAGAGAGTTTCTAAAAAAAAAATAATTCAAACATAATTCAATAATTCAAACAAACATAGTGTTTTCCATGAATGGTGTTTTCCATTCATAGCCCTACTCAGTAAAAACTGAAGATCAAAGATAAATTAACCAGGGACTTCCCTGGTGGTGCAGCGGATAAGACTCCGAGCTCCCAATGCAAGGGGCCTGGGTTCCATCCCTAGTCAGGAAACTAGATCCCACATGCATGCCACAACTAAGACTTCACATGCCACAACTAAGGAGACAGTGTGTCACAACTAAGGAGCCGGCGAGCCGCAACTAAGACCCCGCACAACCAAATAAATACTTTTAAAAATAAAATAAAATAAAAAATAAATTAACCAAATTGGCAGCTCAAAAAGCTTTTAGAAAAAGAACAGCAAAGTGAACCAAAAGGAAGTATAAGGGAAAAAAATTAAGATCAAAGCAGAAATTAATGAGGTACAAAATAGAAAAATAATAAGCCTAATTAATAAGTCAAATTCTTAGGTATTTTGTTTGTTTCCAATCACTAGCTAATTTACTCAAGAAAAATAAGGAAGAAAACACAAATATATAAAATAAGGTGCCAAGGAGGAAAAAAAACATAAGAGAAGACACTGTAGCACAAGATACAATATAGACTTGAACAAATTGAAAGACATTTCTTGTCCTTGGATAGAATGGCTCAACATCAAAAAGAAGTCAGTTCTCCCTAATTTAATTTATAACTTTAATGTAATCCCAATAAAAATACCAAGTTTTTTATAGAGCTAGATAAGTTGATACTAAAATTCATGTGGAAAAACAAACATGCAAGAGTTGCCAGGAAAACACTGGAAAAGAAAAACTACAAGAGAAGATAAGCTCTACCAGATATTAAAACATACTCTAAAGCCTCTATAATGAAAACAAGACATTTTAACAGAATAGACAACAGACCAGAAGAACCAAACAGAATGTCCAGAAACAGACTTAGGCACACACAGAAACCTAGTATGTGATAAAGGCGACATCTCAAATTACTGGGGCAAAGACAGATTTTTTTTTTTCTTTAGTATTTTTTAAAATTTATTTATTTATTTTTGGCTGCATTGGGTCTTCGCTGCTGCGTGTGGGCTTTCTCTAGTTGCAGCAAGCGGGGGTTACTCTTTGTTGCAGTGTGCGGGCTTCTCATTGCGGTGGCTCCTCTTGTTGCCAGCATGGGCTCTTGGCACACAGGCTTCAGCAGCTGTGGCTTGCGGGCTCAGTACTTGTGGCTGGCGGGGTCTAGAGCACAGGCTCAGTAGTTGTGGCGCACGGGCTTAGTTGCTCTGCGGCATGTGGGATCTTCCCAGACCAGGGCTCGAACCCGTGTCCCCTGCATTGGCAGGTGGATTCTTAACCACTGCACCACCAGGGAAGTCCCCAAAGACAGAGTTTTTAATAAATGGTACAGAGACAGCTTATTAGCCATTTAGAAAAAGATAAATTAAATCCATACCTTACATTGTATGCAAGAATAAACTCCAAATGACTCTGAGATCTGAGTGTAGGAAAATGAAACCAAGTACTAGAAGAAAATATGAGTGAATTTCTCTATGACCTGGGTATAAGGAAGATTCTTTTAACTCTGACGCAAAATCCAGGTGCAGTAAAATGAAAGATTAATAAATTTGACTACATAAAAAAATTTAATTGGATGGCCAAAACATAATAAAGGATAAAGAAAAAGAAACTGGAAGAAAATATTTGCAAAGTATATCACAAATAGAGGCCTAATATCACTAACATATGAAGAACTCTTTAAAAATGATGGGAGGGACTTCCCTGATGGCACAGTGGTTAAGAATCTGCCTGCCAATGCAGGGGACATGGTTCGATCCCTGGTCTGGGAAGATCCCACATGCCGTGAAGCAGCTAAGCCCATGTGCCACAACTACTGAGCCTGCGCTCTAGAGCCCATAAACCACAAGTACTGAGCCCCACGGGCCCAGAGCCCGT